ATCTGCATCTTCTTTCTTCTGACTCTTCTCACCTCTGCTTTTCAACTGTCCATATTGTCGGAAGTTTCACTTCTAAACTTCCTTCGATTATATTATATTATATTAAATTATATTATATTATATTATATTATATTATATATACATATGTATGTAACATTTATAATATATATATATATTATACTACATTATCATTGTTATCAATTATTATTATTAGTAGTTAATCAGTTAATTATCTTTATTTATTATTAATTATTATTATTATCTTTTAATAATTACTCCTATTATTATCAATTACTATTATTATGTTTATTTAGTATCATTGTTATAAAAATATAAATATATATGTGTGTGTGTGATCCATGTCTGGAATTTATAATGGTACATTAAGCATGAAATAAACTACAAATTACAACCAGAATTTGCTCTCTTCCCAATTCAAGGGACTGACGGACCGACGGACTGACGGACGCTGCAAACAAGTCACGGCATCTGTCGATGTTGCCCAAGCGCATCTCCAAGTCGGCGTAGTCCAGGAAAATTCTCTCCTATCAGGTCAGCAATACAACCAACTCCAGACAAAGAATTGAAGCAAAGGCAAGTGTTGGCTTGAGAAGCCGCAAAAGAATGGAGGGAGACAAGAAGACAGCCGTCCAAAAATCCTTTGGCGCTTCCTATAAACATCAACATAAAAGAACATATCTTCAATCACGAGAAAGTTGAGTCGGAACTGTCAGAACCAAAGAGATGTGCTGATCTTCAAAAAGTCTGGTTGGTTGTTGTAACATGTTCTAACATGTTGTAACATGTTGTAACCATTGTAACCCATGCCTTCTGGCACTCGGCAATGGCCCGGCCATAGATGCGTCGTGCACGGTCAAGTTCCAGCTGCCTCACCTGTGATCTGCAAGCACTAGACATAGATTTCTAAGCGGCATTTCTGATCAATTAAATTACCCCAAATGCCCCAAATACATTTTTTGATGCTATTTAATTATACAGTGCAGTACATGATGCTGCCAAATAATTTTAGAAATCAAAGCCATTCAAAGCCCTTAAGACACGCAAGTTCATGTCGTCCGCATTCGACTGCCACCTCGCGTGATGTAAATGGCCTCACTAAAATTGAAAATGCTGGAATCTTCGGTCAGCCCATGACCGAAGTAGCCCAGATCAAGTTCCCCTTCCAGTACCCTGACACGTGGCCTCAAATTCGGCGTAAAGCTTCCAAATCTGCGCGCGGTTCTATCTCAATCACCCATTGGAATGGCTGCTGTCTGACTTCATAGGGGTTGTTTGACCACAGGGGTCATTCTTGCAACACGAGCAATACTGCAAACGCGTTCGTTTCAATATGCGTGTATTTGAAGTGTATTGAAGTAGGTCTGTTGTAGATTTGGATTCAATGATTCAACAAACCTGGCATTGGGATCATTGGGAATCCCAAAAAAATGACGGTTTTCTGGCCTTCGCGAAGGAGAACTGTTTGTGGGGGACCACCTTCAACAGCGCCTCGGCAACTGAAATGGATGGGTTCTGATCATTTCACCCGGTTTTTAAAGGCCATTTCGGGATGGTTTCCCGTCATTGCCAACCCTTTATTTGGGGCCCATTGCCATTGCAAAAGGCAGGAAGGACCTCGACAATAAGTTTGAAGATTACTAGAAAATTGGATATAATTGGAGGATAGTTAAACCGGTAAACCATGGTAAACCGAACCTTTGGCTGACCTCATGTTCATTTCGCTCATTCTTCAGGTCGACTTTTCTGTGGCCTCCACCGCTGAAAATCGCCTCAGGCCCCGGCATCGTAGACGGCGCGAGCCTTCTCAATGTCTCCGGTTTGCAGCTCCTGTAGTGCAGATCGCATTTGAACAGCGACCCGAAAAGATATGTGCAGTAACATATAGTAATATGCAGTAATTATGTTTTGGACATGGTCAGAGACAAAAACCTGGACTGCCTGCATCAGTCTGTCCGAATTGTGTATATGTCATGAATCAAAACACTGGTACCTTGTTTACCTTGGTTTGCACGTCCTGACAATGTTTCCAAAATAGCATGACTTGTCAGGTAGCTGGTGGAATTGCAAAGGCAAAGGGATGCAACAGGAAGAGTCATGTCTTTCCCCAAATTGGTAGCTGGCACTGACCCTCCTCGAAAAGTGCGAAGTAAATCCTGAGATCATCCCAGATCATCCCAGATCACCCCGAATCATCCCAAATCATCCCAAATCATCACAAATCACCCCAAATCATCCCAGATCACCCCAAATCATCCCAAATCATCCCAAATTATCCCAAATCATCCCAGATCATCCCAAACCATCACAAATCATCCCAGATTCTCCCGGTTCGGCTGGGAAACCAGCACAGAGTACCATTGCGTCCCCACAAGATTTTTTTCAAAGTTTTCCATGGTCGTTGAGACGTCCTCCGACTGTGGCAACTATGGCTCAAGCCATTCAACTGGCTCAAGGGCCAATCAAACGAATTGCTCAAGTACACCGAGCCCAACTTGGAGAGAAAAGGGTGCAATTGCATCTGCCTCTTGGTGGGGTTCTCTGGAAAGGGACTCGGTAGTGTGAAACCCGTGAGCCCAACCCAAACGCTGCCCCGAAGCCGTGTCGAGCAGCGACTTCACTCAGCGTCGTCGACAAGAACATCAAGGTCAGGCGGCTGCTCGTGCTGAAGAAGTACAACAAGGGCCCCATGGAAAAGAAGAACGTGCTGAGACGGCTGATGAGATTCTGGATCGGCTTCTGGAGGGCATGAACACCTAGAAAAGGACAAGGGGAGAAATCAGGGACAAGACCACCAAGGAAGGAACTGAGGGGGTCGCCGTTGAAAGGCTGATCTAAATTTCTGCTGAAGCTCATTGCATGGAGACCGAAACGGTTCTGGGCAAGTTGGATCTGGGATCTGTGACGCCGTTCTTGAAAAAGAAGGACACGCCTGGACAAGAAGACCATCCTGAAAAAGAAGGGTATAATATAAGGGTATCCTTAAACGGGGTATGGGTCCACCAGGGGTAGCTCTAAGCCTGCATTTGTTACGTATTGGGATGTGCATATGACAGGTTTTTCGGGTGCAAGATCATCACGGTCATGCTCCCCAATGGCACAATCCAGAAAAAGAGGGACACATCCCTGAGATCATCATTGGAAGTGAGCACTTGGAAAACCAGCACAGAATACCATGGCACCCCCAGAAAAAAAAGGTTCAAAGTTTTCCATGGTCGTTGAGACGTCCAACTGTGGCAACTATGGCTCAAGCCATTCAATTGGCTCAAGGGCCAATCAAACGACTGGCTCAAGTACACCGAGCCCAGCTTGGAGAGAAAAGGGTGCAATTGCATTTGCCTCTTGGTGGGGTTCTCTGGGAAGGGACTCGGCAATGTGAAACCCGTGATCCCAAATCATCTCAGAAGAAGAAGTTGAAGCAGCTGCCGCCCAGCGCATGCATGCAGCTGCAAAGAAGTGCCACATCAGCTCGCGCATCAGCAGCACATGGAGACACTCAAAGACCCAAGCTTAATCAATCGAGCCCTCTGCACCACCATCATGGCGCAGTGTAAGAATTCGTGAGGCCGTGCGAGTCATGTGATCACAAACCGCATGATTCTCAATAGAGTTGTCACCCAAAGTAAACCAACCGAACCGCTCTTGTAAGGGGTTATCAGGAGGGCGACCATTTGGAGGAATATTTTGGGGGCAATCCCAAAACAAATGATGATGGAATCCAACAGCAGATGCACACAGGGGGCAGCAATCCTCAGCACCGACCAAGTCGGCCTCATGGTGGCCACTCCAGCGAGCGGCAGTAGACAGGAAACTAGCAAATGCAACAGCTCTGTAATATCCTGAAACACAGGCAAAAGCTTGGAGCGATGCATCGATGCCTACAGTTTCACGCAGCCACTCGCTATCTCTCCTTTTGGGATGATTGACAAACCGTTCAAAGCACCTCCATCGAAACAAAGTGCGAATGTTATGGAGAGCAAGGTCCACAGGTTGATGACTAGTTCGAAGATCCAAAGTTCTTTCATCATTTTTCACAAGATTATACCAAGGTTGATTCATTTTCCAGTACCAAGGGGAAATTTCAGTAAATCCCAAATCACGCAATTCTTTTCGCAAAATGGACACTGAACAGAATGCAGCAGTCAGCCATTTCGGAGAATTAGGTCGACGTAGATTCCGAGCCACCCGAGCATAGCGACGGGTGGTAAGAACAATGGGAAGAAAATTTGGCACCCCAAAGAAAATTTTCTTGATCTCACGCGAACCCATTCTTTGTTGCTTCGGAGAAGTAGACAAGAGACTGAAAAGTTTATTCCCTTGATTCAACAGAGGGTTATGACCAACCCAGCCGTAAGCGGCTTTGGACAGTACAAAACTTTGATAAGCCCTGACTCTTTGCTCCCACCCTAGGGGTAAGGAAAAAAGGGCACGTGCCCTTTGCATGGCCTCAAAGATTCTAGTGTTTTCACTGTCACTGTTTACACGGCTACGAGTTGTGGTGGTCACCCCAAGTAGCTTGACTTCAGGTTTGGCCCACTGCGGGGCTTTGCTAAGCAATAGTTGATAGTCATGCATAGTTCTGGATGTAACTTGAGTTTTGAGCGGATTTTCACGGAGGCCCATTTTTTCGGACCATAGTTGCCAGCGCAGGATGCGCTGAATTACCTGATCCGCGTTGGGTGACCAGAAGTTTCTGTCGTCCATATAGCAGCCATAAATGACATTCTCATTGACATCCCTTTCCACTGATCGGATTCCAGTGGACACCCAACAAGCGCAGATTAACGGTGCCAGCGGGTCTCCTTGAGCATCGCACAGCCGGATTGTAATGTGGTCGAAGCCACATATCCTTCATATTCGACAAGTCTATGCAAACCCCCCCAAACGTTTTGAAGAAGCACAGCAAGTTGAGGGGGAAACCCGAGTTCTGGAGTCCAGAGCAAGTAATTCTGGGATTCATATGGTCAAAGGCTTGAGAGAAATCCATGGAAGCAAGATAACCTTTACGATCAACTAAGATTTGTTGCATGGTATCGGCCAGGTCCTCAGCACCTTGTGCGCCCGAACCATGACAAACCTCCTGATGCAAGGCCCTACGAGACCACTGCTTTATCGGGGTTGAACGAGCCCATGCAGAAGAATATATTCTCCAAAAGATGCTCATGATCGAAATAGGTCGAAGATGTTTGACGTCCAAATGGTGAGCTTCAGAACATTTCCCTGGTTTTGGTATACTGACCTGGCGAGACTGAAGAAATTGTTGCGGAATGATCCCACTGCGATACCATCTTTCCGAACATTGGTGAAAAACTTGAATGGCCCCTAGAGGGATGTGCTGGACTTCTTGTCCCAACCATCCATCTGGACCAGCTGCTCCATGAGCTCGGCGAGTGGCCATCCACAGGTCACCCACAGCAACATTTGTCCACGGTGTATCTACCGGAAATTGCCCAAAATTGTCAGCAAACATTTTGGGGGCAGCCAGTACATCAACAGAATTGGACCATTGATCATTCCAGAATTTCAGAATTAAATCAAGGGCTTGATTATGATTAGTAGCCACCGTACCCGCGGAGGTAAGGGACACACATTCAGGTGCCCGAACTTTACGACGAAGCCATGCACCAAGAGGTTTGAGGTCAGGTTGATTGATGCGCCGTTTCCACGACGTCAGTGCCTCCTGTTTGCAGGCTTCCTCCCAAGCAACACGTTGAGCCTGAACCTGCTGAATGTCTGAGGTGGCCCTTCGATGCAACTCCTGACATGTCAGGGGCAGCTCAACTTGCGGCCAAACTTTGCGCAGCAGGTCTTCAGGCGGAAGGACATGTCTTTTGCAACACCTGCGAATCTCAAAAAGACGCGCCAGTCTGCGCCTTAGCAGGCGCCCTTTTTCTCCGGGCTGAGGGTCACCTTTGCATTTATAAGGAATGTTAACCCATTGAAATGAGGCTTGCGAGCCTTTGGCCCGAAGACCTTGTTGATGATTGATTTTCCTTAACTCACTTAACACTGCATCATCGGTTGAGGAAGCCAAAAGGTCCCGAATAGTTTGAGTGAACAGAAGGTTAAGACAAGTCATGAAAAGGTCCCATTCTTGTTGTACCGTGGACGCATTATTCTCATTAGGGCCAACTTGTAGCATTTGACTCAACGTATGAAATTCCAAACTGGATTGGATCTTGGCTTTCCAGGTAACATCAAGAGCAGCCTGCCAATCCTCCGTAGTAATTTCGTTAGGTTTGATCCATTTGGGGGAAGGTTTCAAACGACCCTTTTTGGAGGTTACCCTGACATTTGGTATCGTAACCCAAAAACCTTTGTGATCAGAAAAGTGCAGATCAGAATTGACGCTGGCAAAAACCATTTTATCAGGATGAGAAGCC